TTTTTCATATATTTATATATATTATATATATATATATATATATATATATATATATGAAAAATATATCAAAATGCATGTGGGTACTCAAATAAAAGCTCCTGATGAGTGTAACATCGTGATGAGCTTATATATTTAAAAACGTCAATAGTTTAAAAAGTACAGTACAATTTAACAAAAATCATTATTTAATAAAGCAAAATTTTATTTTTTTATTGTTCACAAGTCACAGCAGTCACATAGTGACTGCAAGGTTGCTAGTTAAATTGTCTAAAAAATTATCTTTTTATTTCACCTCCCTTGTTTTTTTTTTTTTTTTTTACTATGACAGACAAAATTTTAATTCAATGCATTAGTTTGATTTATTTTTCATAAAATCTACTAATTATTGTGTTACATAATTAAATGGTAAAATTAATCATAATTTTCCTAGCTTGACATATTAAATTTTTAATATTTTCAAAAAAAATTGATATTTAAAATGACTTTAGAAATTTTTTTATGACTATAACTAACAGTTATTTTGAAATATTTATTTTTTAAATGAATCATTGAATATTTAACAATTAAATATAGCTGTTAAATTATTAAATAACAGTAAGACTTGCTAAATATCTTTCTAACAAGATTTTTTAATTATTTTCAATTGTTAAAAATCAATTATTAAATGATTAGCTAAAAAATTAATTAGTATATATATTTCTTACAGTTAATTGAACAATTAGCACCAGGAGGTCGCATGATCATACCCGTGGTAGCAATGGAAGGATTTCAAAAGTTTCAGGATCTCTTGCAAGTGGATAAACATCAAGATGGATCTATTACTCAAACGAAATTGATGCACGTTTCTTACGTGCCATTAACAGACCCTACGAGTCAATTACAAAATTAGATAAATAAATATTTTCATTTTTTTTTTATATGTACAAAATAATTAAATTAGCAAAGTAGAAAATTTCAATTATTTAATTGTTAAAAAATACTAAAGTATAAATTGTATTATAAAATTTAAAAGAATCTAGCAAATTGATAAAAAAAATTAAATTATAAATGGATAAATTTAATAAATAAATATATTTTATTAAGACAGTAATTTCTGTTTTTCTGACTGCGTATTGAATTTAAGTCATAATATTAAGAAAGTTATTGACTTCACAGCGTGTATTGCATTTGCGTAGACATTGCAGGAAAGGTCATTGGGATTATCATATTTCATGTGAAACGTAGATTGTACAATCATATTAATTTATTAAATTTACATTAAATGTTTATAAATAAATCGAACATTGTTTTAAAAGTTTGGACTGATAGACAAAATTTTTAACAATACAAAATTCATCGAGAAGGAACTTTGAATAGGTTGATGGCCAACTAATAAAAAATTATTAATCACTGATGAAACAAAGTTTACTTGATTTAAAGGTCATAGAAAATATTTTTAAGAGAAATAATTATCTTACTAACCAATGAAATATAAGCAGAACATGTCATAGAGTAAGAGAACAAGCTTCAAGCTCCGCGGAATACTGTTTACTTTAATCAAACAGTAAAATCTTTAGCTTGTCAGTAGTAATAATATTGTTTAATAAAATAATTTATTCTTGGCAACGCGATATCTTGCATTGTATGCTAATTTAGTTAATAATTGTGAAAGTTTGATATAAGATCAATTAATAATCATAAACATGACGTTTGAGTCTGGTAAATCCCGACAATTTCTCGCAGCAGTTGTTGGTACGTTTTTATATTTTATTTTTGAACTAAATCAAATTCGTGACAGTAAAAAATGTATCTTATTAAGAGAATAAGACAAAGTTTGTCTCCAGGATAGTCATATGATAAAATTGGGTTTTTTTAGTGAAATTTAGTGTCATTGCAAAGGTTTTGACTTTAATTTATGCCTTTTCAAGGTTTACTATAATTCTTAACAATAGTCAATTTATTATAATATATTTAGGCTGCATTCGAAAATGCTCTATCTTTAGATACATAATTAAGAAATTACCTTTTATCTTGTGAAATATTGACATTTTTAAAGATATAAGCTCATCCCGATGTTACACTCATCAAGACCTTTTATTTGAGTACCCACATCAATTTTTTATATATTTTGTATATTTATATATATGTATATATGAAAAATATATCAAAATGCATGTGGGTACTCAAATGAAAGCTCTTGATGAGTGTAACATCAGGATGAGCTTACATCTTTAAAAATATTAATAATTAATAAATTACCTTGTATCTTGTGAACCATTGATATTTTTAAAGATATAAGCTCCTCCTTATGTTACACTCATCAAGACCTTTCATTTGAGTACCCATATCAATTTTTTTTATATATTATATATATGTAAATATTAAAAATATATCAAAAATGCATGTGGGTACTCAAATGAAAGCTCTTCATGAGTGTAACATCGGGATGAGTTTATATCTTTAAAAACGTCAATAGTTAAGAAAGTACAGTGCAATTCAACAATTATCTTGAAAATTATTGACGTTTTTAAAGATATAAACTCATCTCGATATTACACTCATCAAGACCTTTCATTTGAATACCCACATCAATTTTTTCATATATTTATATATATTATATATATGTAAACGTCAATGGTTTAGAAAGTACAATGCAATTTAACAAAATTCATTATTATTTTTCAGTGAATCTATCAGCATTATTACATGGCTTAGCAATTGGGTGGCCTTCACCAACAATGCCACGGCTCCAAAGTCCAGAAACACCTGTTGGAACCGAACCTTTGTCGGACTATCAAGTCTCCTGGTTAAATAGTGTCGTGTATATCGGATCACTGACTGTCTTACCCATTTGCAGATATATATCCGAAAATTATGGACGAAAAAGAGTTGGTTATCTAATAACCGTGCCTCTAATGATCTGCTGGATTCTCACTTTATCAGCGAGTAATTTTTGGCACTTACTTGTTGCTCGTTACCTTGCTGGTGTCGGCGGGACAACAAGTCTGTTTTTAACACCGATTTACGTGTCGGAGATCTCTGGTGATAGTATCAGAGGACAACTAGGAAGTATGTTCATGTTCTCACTTAAATTTGGAATTTTACTCGGTTATATTATCGGTGCATTTTTGTCGTATCATTTATTTGCTGTGTGCGCACTTCTCATGTGTTTTCTTTATTTTTTGTGCTTCAATTTTCTGCCAGAAACTCCCATTTATCTTCTAAGGAATGAAACAGAAGTTGCGAGCACTGAGTAAATTTATTTTTTCATTATTAATATTATATTTTTCACTAATATTGATGAATAAAATTTGTATTGCAGGTCCTTAATGTGGTTGAAGAATAATGACACAACTGCAGTTGAACGTGAATTATCTCGGATGAAAATTTTTGTAGAAAAAAATTATAATGCTAAAAATACTGTAAGTTTGAAAGATTTATTCCGTGATAAAGGCACTATTAAAGCTTTTATAATTGCGATGACACTATTGTGCGGCCAACAAACTTGCGGAATTATGATTGTTGTAAGTATTCTTCTGAATAATTAATAATCAATTTATTAATAATCATGATGATACTGAAATTATAAAATATCTAAAAATTTAAAAAAATATTGTTTGTCCTAATTAAAAAAAATTCTAAAAATTTTTTTCATTGAAAAAATTATTATAAAAAACTAAAAAAAAAAGTTTCAATTATAAAAACTCAAAAAACTATAAGTGCAATTTTAAAAAAAAGTTTTTTTGTCCTAATTTAATTAATTAAAAACGTCGGTTAATTTTTATAATTTTCATTAATAATCATGATTGATACTGAAATCAGCTGACATCTGCCAATTTTTAAAAATTTTTATTAAAAAAAAATTTGCACTTGTAATTTTTTTTCAATTTTTAAATGTCGAATTTTCTAATTAAAATTTATTCTTTATAAAAATTAAAAAAATTGACAGATGTTTAATTTCAGTATCATGATCAATTAAAATAAAATTAATAAAAAAAATCTGATTACTTTAGCTGGGATACACTGCAAAAATTTTTGAAATGGCAGGAAGTTCATTGCATCCAAACATATGCGCAATTATAATTGGCATTATCCAAATAATAAGCTGCTGGTTGTCAATACTGCTAATGGAACGAGCTGGAAGAAAAACATTGATATCAATTTCATGTATAGGCATTGTAATATGCAATTGTATTTTAGGAGTATTTTTTTACCTCAAGTATCACTCGTATGACGTTTCCTCAGTTAATTGGCTACCTCTAATAGCACTTTCGGCATTTTCAATTTTATATTGCCTCGGTATGGGCCCAGCACCTTTTGTTGTTATGTCAGAAATTTTCAGTTCCGATATTTCAGCACTCGCTTCTTCCATCGCTCTCCTTTTTATGGGTCTAATGGGCTTCATTAATATGAAAACTTTTCCTTTTCTTGTTGATTTAATAGGAATACACAGTAATTTCTTCTTATCTGCTTTGGTCGGTTTACTTACTCTTATTGTTATTACTTGCATGTTACCAGAAACAAAAGGAAGAAGCTTACAATCTATTATCCATGAACTAAATGGCATAACTGAACATTCGGGAGTCAGTAAATCAATTAAAGTTAAAATTTCGAACCGAATATTGAGTAAAAAAAAAGAAATTAAATAATTAATAAATTTTTAAGATTAACATTTTATTTTATAGTAATTTATTAATAAAGAAAATTTTTTAAATATCTTTATAAAACATTTTATTAGTAAATAAAACTAATCTAATTTTTAAGTTTAATTTCTTTTTGTAATAATAAAAACACTGAGATTAAGAAATAAAATTTTTTTATAATTTTATATCAATTAAATTAATGGAAATTAAGTTAGCCTACATCTAAAAATTTTTAGAATATTTTTTTATTGAAAAAATTATTACAAAAAAAAAAAAAATTTCATTTGTAATAAACTTGAAAAACTGTAAGTGCAATTTTTAAAAAATATCTTTTTGTTCTAATTAAATTGTTGAAAAAAAATCAAAAAATTAAAAACGTCGGCTAATTTTAGTATCATTAAATATGAAAATTAAGTTAGCCGACATCTAAAAACTTTCAGAAATTTTTTTATTGAATAATTATTAAAAAAAGAAGAAAATAAAAAATTTCACTTGTAAAAAATTTTAAAAACTATCAGTGTAATTTTTTAAAAATATTTTTTAGTTTTTATTTAACAAATAAAAAATAATTAAAAAATTGAAAATGTCGGCTAACTTTAGTATTATTTATTAAATTAATGAAAATTAAGTCAACAATTTTTGATTTTTTTTTCAATTAAAAATTAGAACTAAAAAACTATTTTTAAAAAATTCCACGTATAATTTTTAAAATTTTCTACATGTGAAAATTTTTGTTTTAATTTTTGAAAAATTATTTTTCAATAAAATAAATTATAAAAATTTTTAAATGTTGGCTAATTTAATTTTCATATTAAATTATTATAAAAAAAAATCCACTTGTGAAATTTAAAAAAATTATTTGTGAAAATTTTTTTTATTGTAATTCATTTCTTATAAGTACTTAAAAATTGACAGCTGTCAGCTAACTTCGATCAGTTTCATTAACAATAAATATAAGTATTACGCTCAAGTACTAAAGCATATTTATGAAAATTAATTTATCAGATATTTAATTAAATATATGATATTAAAGTTAGCTATCACTTGACATTTTTTTAATTTTATTTAATGAAAATAAAGTTAGCCGACATCTAAAAATTTATATGATTTTTTTTTATTAGAAATTATTGCGAAAAAATGAAAAAAAAATTTTTTCATTGTTAAAAACTTTAAAAACTATCAGTGCAATTTTTGAAAAATATTTTTTAGTTATAAATTAATAAATTAGGTAAAATAAAAATAAATTTTATTTTTTTAAATTTCTAGATGTCAATTTGTTTTCTTATTTTTTTTTTTTTGCCATAATTGGTTTGTTATAAAATTTTTTAAATTACTAAATGTGTGCTTCGTTAATTTTCATTAATAATATTTGTAAAAAATAAATTATGGCTAAAAAAATGACTTAGAAATTTTCAAAAACTAAAAATGTAATTTTTGATTGTTAAAAAAAAAAAATTAAAAAATTTCTTAAATTACTTTAGTAGGTAATAAAGTTTTCATTATGAGAAATTTACAAAATATTTCTAAGTGACCTCTAGCTGTCAAGTTTTACAAAACAATCACAACAAAGAATCACGATTGCATTAAAGGAGATAAAAATAAAAATAAATTAATAGTTGGTGAATTTAATTTTTATACTTTTTTAATTGTTTTATCATTTTTATTAATGGCTTCATTCGGAAGATACAATGGGCGATCTAATCAAGAGCTTGTCAATTATCTTAAACGTAAGTAAATAAATTACTGTGGTTATTTTTTAATGATACTGAAATTGAGAGACTTCTGATAAATTTTATCATTTTTTTTAACAAACTAAGTATAAAAAAAAAATGTACTTAAAAAAATTATATTTTTAGAAGCTCTGAAAAATTATAAAAAAGATTTTTAAAAAATAATTATTTTTCAGTATTTTGTTATTTAAATTAATACAATATGTTAATATATATATATATATATATGTTTACTCCAGGATCAGGAATTATTAAATCTGATCGTGTGTTTGAAGCAATGAGTTCTGTTGATCGTGCTAAGTACGTAGTTAGAGGAAACCCGTATGTCGATTCACCGCAAGGTATTGGTTATGGTGTGACAATAAGTGCTCCACACATGGTGAGTAAATCAATTGTTTTAATAATTACTAAAAACTGATAGTGAAATCAGCTGACATCTGGAAATTTCTTTTTTATTTTTACAATTCAATTATTAAAAAAAAAATTTCTGAAAATTAAGTTAGCCGACATTTGAAAATTTTAGAATTTTTTTTATTAAAAAAATTATTACAAAAAAATAAGAAAAATAAATTTCACTTGTAAAAAAATTGAAAAACTTTAAGTGCAATTTTTAAAAAATATTTTTTTGGTCCAATTAAACAAATGGAAAAAAATAAAAAAATTAGAAACGTCGGCTAACTTTATCATTATAAAGAATTTTTAAAAATTCGCACTTAAAAAATTTTATATGAAAATTAAGTTAGCCGACATCTGAAAATTAAAAAAATTGGTACAAAAAAAATTTTTAAAAAATGTCACTTGTAAAAAACTTGAAAAACTGTAAGTGCAATTTAAAAAAAATATTTTTTTGTTCTAATTTAATTAATGACGAAAAATAAAAAAATTAAAAACGTCGACTAACTTTAGTATTATTAATTTAGCAGATAGTTTATAATTTTCAGAATTATTTTAATAACAAATAAATGACGGCAAAAAAATGAGAAAAAAAAATTGACTTGTAGAAATTAAAAATGCTATTTTTTTAAATAATTATTTGTTTGGGAGCAAATTTGTTTGTTAAAAAAAATTAAATAATCATCAAGTAATTGATAAATTAAAAGTCATTTTTTTTTAATTTCTACATGTGGAATCTTTTTATGAAATTTCTTATGTGACATTGAAGTTGACAGACATTAAAAATTTTTTTATAAAAAAAAATTTAATTAAAATATTCCACATGTGAAAATTAGTAAAAATTACAAGTGAAAATTTTTAGAAGTATTTTTTTATTATAATTGAATTGCTATAAAAATTTTGAAATTGACAGCTAACTTCAGTATCATAATTTTTTTCATAACAATTTAGTTTTTATAAAAATATAAAAAAAAATGTAAAATATCTGTTAATTTCATAGTAAAAAAAATATCATTATAAAGATTAACAATTCAGAAAAACGAAAGGTTATTTTTTAGCACGCTTATGCATTGGAGTATCTCGAAGACAAATTAAAAAATGGAAAACGAGCGCTGGATGTTGGTTCAGGTTCTGGATATTTAACAGCATGCATGGGAACGATGGTTGGTCCTGATGGAGTTGCCGTAGGTATTGATCATATCTCTGAGCTCCAGGCTCTTGCTACCCGCAATATCAAAGCTGATAAGCCAGAATTACTTGAAAGTGGTCAAGTAAAATTAATCGGTAAGCTTTAATTCTTCAAAAGTATTTTTTTAAGTAACTATTTAAAATAATTGCTTATAGTTGGAGATGGAAGACAAGGGTATCCAAATGATGCACCGTACGATGCTATTCACGTTGGAGCAGCAGCCAAAGAGACACCATACGCGGTAACTATAATACTAATTAATTCTTTTAACTAAAATAAATTGTTCTTCATCAAGACAGTTTAATTTAATAAAAAAAAAAAACGTAAGAGTTAATATTATTTAATTTAATAGTAAATAAATTGAATTATTTTGCAGCTAATTGATCAATTAGCACCAGGAGGTCGATTAATAGTACCGATAGGTCCCGAAAGTGCTGACCAAAAACTCGTACAAATTGATAAAACAATGAATGGAGAAATACAACAACGATCGTTGATGGGAGTCGTTTATGTACCTTTGACTGACAAAGAACGACAATATTCATGAAATAAATGTTTGCTTCAATAAGTTATTTTTTTTTTTTTTTTTTTTGATACAATTAATTGATATTTAATCAAAGCAATGCTCAATATTTAGAAAAAAAAATTTATTTTTTTCTTTAAAATTTCACTGAAATTTAATTATACATATATATATATTGTTTTTTTTTTTTTTTTAATTAAGGGGGAAATACGTGCAGAAGGCCGTTTTCGATGCTGATTTTCATTAATTTTTTTAAGGTATAAAAATCAATATTATTTGTTGAAACTATCAGGTTATTTTATAGATATATTTATGAGTATTTTTTCGTATTAAACAACAATATAACTTAACAAATAGCGGAGATGTCAGCTGATACACATCGTAGGTTGTCATCCGACTTAGCAGTTGGTGTGCAGTATGCAAGCCACAATTTTTATCTGAAATCACTCGACACAGAAAAATTACTTTTTTTGTGTGTATTTTCTATATGAACCTCAATTCCATAAAAAAAAGTAAAAATTTGCATTTTTTAGAGAGCTGTGAAATTAAGTTGTGATTTTTTACCATTTTTTCATACATTGTTTTAAAAAAAAAAAATAGTTTAAATAAAAATATCGCTTATGATAGAGGTTCATATTCAGCGTAATTGTATAAAGAAAAGTAATTTTTCTGTGCCATTGATTTCAGGTAAAAATTGTGGCTTCCATAGTGCACACCAACTGCTAAGTCGGAAGGTAACCTACGATGTGCATCAGCTGATATCTCCGCTATTTTTTAAAGATGTAAAAATATAAATATATGTATAAAATAACCTGATATTTTTAATAACTAACATTAATTTTGATACTCTAAAAAAATTAATAAAAAATCAGCATGAAAACGTCTTTCTACACGTACTTCCTCCTTAATTGTAAAATTTGGAGAGTTAATATGTAATGCACTTTCTTACATCACTTATTATTGAACTATAAGTCACAAGTGGAAAAATATTAATTAGATTTATTAATTTAAAAACTTATAACAGATTTATTTTTAATTAAAATTGTATACAATTACATAAAATATGAATTAATCTAGCAATTATTAATATAGTTGCATAAAAATAACCATCTAATAACTTAATTTAATTTAATGACTGATTTTCAACGAGTATATACGTATTAAGTATCAATAATTAAATAAATACTATTTTTTACTTAATTTAACTTTATTTGTTTGCGCGATATATTCCTTTTTTCAATATTTTTACTAGGTACATACGTAATCATTTTTTTTATTGCAATATTTTATATAAATAAAAATAATTATTTATATAATTCTGATATGATTGTTTTTTTATTTAAAAATTTTTTAAGTTAAAAAATTATTTTGAATAAATTTAAATTAAATAAACATGAAATTATTTAATTAAAAAAAAATAATTTTTTTAATTAAATAAAAAAATTAAATTTTTTAATCATTAAATAAAATTATTAATCTAATTATTAAAAAAAAATTAAATATTTTAAATTATTAAAGCATTCAATAAAATAATTTTAAAAATAAATAAATTAAAATTTTATACATCTAAAAATTTTTTAAATAAAATTAATATAATTATACAAGTCAAAAATTAAAATTAATATTGAGATTTTTATATCCGCAATTGTCTTAAAAAAAAATGTTAAAATTTCATAATTTTTAATAAATTAAAAATTATACGTCATTGATAATTAAAAATACAGTTTAGTAATTTAAAATTTAAAATTAATAGCACGCGCAATTGAGCATTAGTTAGTAATAAAATCATAAGTAACTAAAATTGTTTAAAATAAAACTTTTGGTAATAAATCCAAAAAAAATTACCCGTTAAATAATCATTAATAAATGGAATAATTAAAAAAAAAATAAATTACGCTATTAATAAACTTTGGAATATTAAAGATACTTAATTAATGCGATACTCAAAGCCGAGCCAGTTGTTATTCCTAATCCAAGAAAAGCCCCCATCATTGTCGAGGCAACTTCTTTATCTTGAGACTCAACAACACTGCAAGAAAAAATTAATATTAAAACGAATAATAACTACTTAATGAATCATACTGTATGCTCTAATTAATCGCTTACGTCGGAGTTAGGATAAATGCAATGTTGCACAAGTATCCGTTACTAATGGCGAATAATATTGTGATTAAAATATAATAAATATCACTTTGAATATAAACTGGTAGAAAATGACGTGGTTGGGCGTTGCATACCATGAACACTGGGATAAATAGAGCTCTTAGTAAACTGAGAGTGAGAACAAGCCAAGGCTTTTTTTTAGGCTGAAAAACAATTATTTTAGTATCTAAATAAATAAATTTTTATACTTTTTATAACTAGGGCCAAAATTTCAAAATTAATGGTGTCAAATTTTTTATGTTAAACATTTTTTTGTTATTTTTATTAAATTTTATAAAAAAGAAATGTCTCTTAATTTTTAGGACCAATTAAGATTCGCAATGAATTAAATTAAGATTCGCAATGAAAATTATAATAAAATAAATAATATTTTTGTTTTAATATAAAAAAATTTAACATAATTAATCATTAATTATTATTTTGAAATTAAGGAAAAAATCTTGGCCATATTTATGACTAATTTTTATTAAACATTTTAAATGTAATTAAATTACTTCGCATACTATTTAATTAGCAAGATAAGACACTAATGGAAAATTAATTAATAATTAAATTCATACTTGGAATTAGAAAAGAATACGAAGCATTGATAGAAAAAAAAATCTACTAACCCACAAGAGTATTCCAGATAACAGACGCCCAACATAATCTCCACAGCTGAATGTAAGATAAGTAACAACGGGTACAAAATAAACGTCATTCCAAGCATGTCCTTGACCGAAACCTTGGCTCTCTATTAACACAGTAACTCCTGGATAGACTGCCATAGTTACGAAGAATACCGAAAACATTGTCAACCCATAAGGCAGTATCCTTTTAAATATTCTCCGATAAGATATCTTCGGTTCGTCAATAAAACTAACTTCGGCGTTGACTGAAAAATTTGGCTCTTCTCGTGGCTTCTGTATCATGTGATGTTTGAAGAATTCCTTAAAAATAAAATGAAAAATGTATCAAGACGTTTACATATTAAAATTTATCATTACAGTTGAGGATTTGAATAAATTATTAGCAACCTGCAGTCATTATGTGACTGCCAAGAATTGCCATTTATAATGAATAAAATTTTTCTTAATTATATATTGACTTTTGTTAAAGTGTACTGTACTTTCTTAACTATTGACATTTATAAAGATATAAGCTCATTCTGATGTTACACTCATCAAGAGCTTTCATTTGAGTACCCACATGCATTTTTGATATATTTTTCATATATACATATATATAATATATATAAATATATGAAAAATTGATGTGGGTACTCAAATGAAAGGTTTCAATGAGTGTAACATCGGGATGAGCTTATATCTTTAAAAATGTCAATAATTCACAAGATATCTGTAAATTGCACTGTACTTTCTTAACTATTGACATTTTTAAAGATATAAGCTCATCTCGATGTTGTACTCATCAAGAGCTTTCATTTGAGTACCAACATGCATTTTTGATATATTTTTCATATATACATATATATAATATATATAAATATATGAAAAATTGATGTGGGTACTCAAATGAAAGGTCTTGATGAGTGTAACATCGGGGTGAGCTTATTTCTTTAAAAATCTCAATAGTTCACAAGATACAAGGTCATTTTTTTATTATGTAGCTAGAACTAGAGCATTTTTGAACGCAGTCTAAATACCTATCATTATAAATTAACTATTGATAAGAATGATATGAAACTTTGAAAAGGCACAAATTCAAATCAAGACCTTTTCAATTACACTAAATTTCACTAGAAAAACAGATTTTATTATGTGACTATCCTGGAGACAAAATTTTTCTTATTCTCTTAATAATATAGATTATGAAACAAATACTTACTTCTTCTTCCAGAACAATATAAGCAATAAAAGAAAATAAAAGTACAACATCTCCAATGATAAAATAAACTAGACCGGATACTACAGGACTAGCTCCAATCCACAAAGAACATATTTCGGTAAGGGCAGTGAAAATTCCACCAAGTGCTTGTCCTCCGGACATTGCTGTGATGTATCTCGGAGAAAAACGCCCGACGATCCCCATCAGAGTCCCACCAAATATTGCGCTCAATGCTAAAATTAATTTTCAATATTTTATAAAATTAATAGTTAATAATTTATTTTATCGCTTACCATTTACAATTGCAACAGTACTCAAAGTTATTATCAAAAATGTATTTTGCCCTAAAATAATAAAAATTAATGAAGAAATAATTAAAAAAATTTTTTTTTTAATAAAAAAATATCTTACATTCGTCGGTGTTTATCTTAACGAACACCGTCGTCATAATAAAGAGAATAAATATTAACAATTGCGAAGATATCATTCGGAATTTTTGTGACAGTCTGAAATAAATTTTTTTTTAACAAGATTAATTTTCAGTAGAGCTTTAACTATTAGAATATAGACTCACCGCTTGCTGAGAAATGTATTAATTATCAAAAATAACATATTGGGTAAAGCACTGGAGACATTTAAGTACGAAGTGAAGCTAACTTGCAAGTCTGTTTTACTCTCTAATATTTCTGTGTGCGTGTAATTATTGGTTCCGCTGTTATTTGGATGGATTTGCCGGAATTTGAACATCCAATAGTCGTCGGCAGTGATGAAAAAACTCCATGGTATTAGGGTATTTATTCCAAGTAAATAAAAAACAATGTATGCTAAATGATATCTGAAAAATTTACAATTATTTAACGTAAAGTTTATTAAAAAAAAATTTTATTTTTTAATCTAAAAGTACCTGTCAGCTGGTTGTGGTTTAAAAAATGGTTTTTTGTCTGGTATAGAAACACTAGCGTCATCAATTTCTGTTTCTATATCTTCAGATTCACTATCGCTTGCAATATTACTCAACAATGGTTTTCTATTTATTGGATACGCCATTTTCTGTAAGCAATATATTATTTAATAATTAAATTAGCCGACTTCTGAAAATGTTTATTATTTATTTTATTAAAAATCTTTATTGAAAAAAAATTAAAAGAAAATAATTTCACATGTAAAAAATATTAAAAATTATCCGTGCAATTTTTTTAGTTCTAATTTATTTAATAAAAAAAAATCAAAAATTATTTTGCCTAATTTTAGTAATGAAAATTAAGTTAGCCGACATCTAAAAATTTTTAGAATATTTTTTTATTGAAAAAATTATTACAAAAAAATAAAAAAAAAATTTTATTTGTAAAAAACTTGAAAAATTATAAGTGCAATTTTTTAAAAATATTTTTTAGTTCTAGTTAAGTAATTAAAAAAGAACTAAAAAAATTAACAATGTTGGCTAACTTTAGTATTATTATAATTTTATTACTTGTATAGAGATTAATATTACTTAATGTGATCAATACAAACAAGCGAATACACTTACCGCAACTTTTTCCAAATTTTACTAGCTGCTCAAGATTATTGTCGATGAGTCTAGAAACTGTCCCTCCGTACATTGAGATATACAATATTCCATCATAAGCATCAAAACTTTCAGGTCCTACAATTTTTCCTTTAAAGACTTTTTCAGCTTTACTTAAATTACTAACTGTATATGAGTGCGGATAATTTGGTAATTTAAAACTATAATATAAAAATCAATATCAATCTTCTGACTATTAAATCAAAGAGATTAATAATCTCTTTTATTATTATTAATAATAATTATTATTATTATTTTACGTATATGATGTAAACTCGATGTTTGGCGGCAGTCCAGGCAAAAATGTTATTGCCATAAGAATTATACAAATCCATAGCAAATTAATAGTTATACATTTTAAAGCTCCCACTAATAAAATATAGCAAGAAAAATTTATTTAAAAAATTCCATTTTTAGAAGCTCTTAAAAATTACAAGTGCAAATAATTTTTATAAATAATTTTTTAGACCTGGTTTATTATTAAAGAAAAATTAAAAAATTGCAATTTCAATGTCATAAATAATTGATCTGTAAGTAAGAAATTAAATATTTCTTCTTGCCAAGAGAAAGTACAAAGACCTGTCGCTCTAAAAGAAACTGAACCAAAATTAATATTAATAATTGTAAAAAATAAATGACTTACTTTAAAATAATACGATCCAACTTTGAAGTAACATAAAGCACTGACTTGTAAGATTTAGTACAGATAAACTAATCTATTGTCTAGGAATATAAAAACATAATAAACTAAACGGAGCTTGCTCATACATATCTGGAGCTGTCGATACAACTGGCAGCAACTAATAAATACTAGTCTGTACTTAGACTCACTGAAAAAAATTTTAATATCATTATTATTATCATTAATGATTGATGATTAATTTATTGTCTGTCACTAATCTCCATATCTTGTAAATTTTTTATGAAAATAAAATCAGCTGACAATTTTTCTCTTTGAAAAAATTAATAATAATATTTTTAAAAAATTCCACATGTAGAAAATTTAAAAAACAATACATGCAATTTTTTATAATATTTTTTTTTGTTCTAATTTAATCAATGAAAAAAATTGTGTTATATTTAATAGTATAATAATAGTAAATAATACTGAAGTTAGCCGTCAGCTGTCAATTACATGTGATCTGAGACATTTCTTACTTTACTTCTCTCGGTGTGTAATATACTATTTTAACAAATCAATAACAATAAAAAAATGCTATGAGAATAAATTTAGCAGATATTAAATAATTTTTAGAATTTTTTTTAATAAATAAATTATAGCAAAAAAAATTAGAAAAAAAAATTGACATGTAGAAATTTAAAAAAATAAAAAATGCAATTTTTTTTAAATAATTTTTTCGAAAAAATTTATTTGTTAAAAAAATTTTTTTAATTCGCTAACGACTGCTAACTTTAATGTCATAAAAATACTTCTAAAAATTTTCACTTATAATTTTTATTAATTTTCACACGTGGAACTTTTTAATTAATTTTTTTTTTTTTTAATTTAATTAATTGAATTGCTATAAAATTCTAAAAAAATTTCTAATGTCTGTCAACTTCAGTTTCATAATAATAAAACGAATTACTTACACTTATTGACATTTACAACAAAGTTAATGACGAAAAATCTTGTCAACCAATCATTTTCTTGCAACAGTCAATTTTTTTCACTTGCACATTGTTATTACAACATACCTGTCAGTAATGGGTGATTTGTACTCGAGTGGTTTGATATTAAAATTTTTAAAGATCACTGACGTTTAAATGTGTCAAAATTCACATTTTGCTTCTTTATTCACGTAATTTAATTCAGATAACAACAAGTGAGACAGAACAGCCTGTAGAGAATGAGATGACTGCTCTATACAAGTACAAATCAGCTGATATGAATCTATGTACATTTATACATACTTACACGTAGTATAGTGTGTGTCCATTTGAATTCAGATCTTTGACAGTAACTGTACACTGGAGAGTGTTTTGAGGTTAAAAAAGTGTTGTGTACATTTTTGGAGTTTATTTACAAATATTTGACAGCACGTGGCGACTGTCAAATTAAAAAATAAATAAATAAAATGAGAGACAGCGATTATTTGGCGAGATCCACAAATACTTCTAGTACCTCTTCTATTATAGACCTTGTTATTGAACCAGCGAGAAAAAAATTTCCATTCTGTATCGTGTGGACTCCAATACCTTTTCTGACGTTTGTATTTTATGAAAATTAAGTTAGCCGACATCTAAAATTTTTTAGAATTTTTTTTTATTAACAAAATTATTACAAAAAAATTAAAAAAAAAAAAATTCAATTTTAAAAAACTTTAAAAACAATAAATGCAATTTTCCAAAAATAATATTTAATTCTAATTTAATAATTAAAAAATAACTCTAAAAATTGACAATGTCGGCTAACTTTACTATTATTTGTATTTTTATTTTGTTCATAAATGACACTAAAGTTGACAGGCAAACATTTTTTAGAATTTTGTGACTAAAATTATTGTGAAAAAAATTTTATAAAAAAATTCCACATGTCAAAAATGAAAATTAAGTTAGCTAACATCTAACAATTTTTAGAATTTTTGTTATTAAAAAAATAAATAACAATAAAGTTAGCCGACATCTAAAAATTTTCAGAATTTTTTTTATTGAAAAAATTATTTAAAGAAATTAAGTAGTTGAAAAAATTTCACATGTAGAAAGTTTTAAAAATAATACGTGCAATTTTTTAGAAATAATTTTTTTGTTCTAATTTAATTGATAAAAAAAATCTAAAATTGTTGATAACGTCGGCTAATTTTAAAATATCATACAATAAAGTTAGCCGATATTTTTGATTTTTTTAGTTTGCTTAATTTATTAAATTATAACTAAAAAATATTTTTAAAAAATTGCACTTATCGACGTTCTAATTAGCAAATTGTCTAACTCCATTTTAGAGAATCTTCTATTTGTACAAAAAAAACAATTAGTTTAAAATTTATTATCACTTTAAAAAACCATTTAATATCATTATTATCTAATAGATATAATATTTAGGTTTGAATCATTCTAATAATTCATAATTGGATTATTGTCACATCAAAAAAATAGGGAGTTAGACAAATTGCTAATTAGACTGACAAAATTTTTTCGTCTTAAGATAATTCTTTTTTATTTTGAAAACAATTTAAATCCTCCTAAAAATCTCTTTAATTTAATTAATTTGCATTATTTTCTGTATATAGTTATAACTCAATAATTTTATATCACGATTTAAAAAGACTAAAACAATATCACAACTCAAAATAAAAATTTTCTATCTAGTTAAAAAAAAAATTTGTTCCCATAAATATTTTACTTATTACTGGTATCAAATACTAATATCATTGCTCATAATTAAAAATTTTTATTTAATCTGAAATAATTGACAAAAATTTTTTTCTTAGATATTTTTTTCCATTCATTGGTCATATGGGAATAGCAACGTCAGCTGGTGTAATTCGTGATTTTGCTGGACCATATCATGTTTCTGAAGATAACATGGCGTTTGGAAAACCAACAAAATACTGGCAATTAGATTATTCACGAGCACGTGGTGGTCTAGCGGGATGGGATGCTGCTGTTTCAGAAGCTAGTGATATTTATAAGAAAAAAATGGTATAAAATATTTTTTTTAATTTTAAACTTTGCATTAAAACAGCATGACTTTTATTAAATTATTAAAAAAAATATATATATTTTTAGCACAACTTATTTTGTGATAATTGCCATTCGCATGTAGCAACAGCTTTAAATTTAATGAATTACGACAATTCAAGTAATTGGAACATGGTAAAGCTAGCATTCTTCATGTTAATTAAAGGAAAATATGTTGGGTAAATAAATATTTTTTTAATTTATTCAAAGTATTACATGTAATAAATAATGAATATTTATAAAGTTTAACATTACTTTATTTTTTAAGCTTCTTAGGATTTGTTAAGACGTGGTTGCCTTTTGTTATAATCATAACAATTATAACAATATTTTTCATCATCTTTTAAGGAGTTTTTATGGAAATAAAAAATTATATTATTGATTTTTCATTAACAACAATAAATTATAAAAATATATGTAAGTATTTACGGTTTGTTATAATTACTTAACAATTAATCTAGCATTCACAAAACTTTATAACTAAAATTTTAGAGAGCTTTTTAATTTTGAATGCATTTAATTTTAGAATCTAGAAGAGCATCAATTGTTATTTAACTATTTTCAATCAACACACTTTTCCACATCAAAGATTATCTTGTGCGTCGGAGTAAAAACAAAAAGTAATTATTTACAAGTAGGGTTCACTATTTTAATTTTCATTTTTTTTAACGAAATTTCTATCTAATTTTATTGATGTTTTTTTTTTTTTGAAAAATGCATAAAAAAAATGAACAATAAAAAAAAAATTTATCACAATTTCAAGAAATTTTCAAAAATACTTTATAAATTTTTTAGAAAATTAGTGATATTCAATTTTTTTGTACTTTTCGAAAAAAAATATATCAAAAACAACAAAAAAAAAGTTAAAATGGAAATTTTATCCAAAATCATGAGAGCCAAAATTTTTTCCAACTTTTGAAAACAAAAAAGCTATCGAAACCTTTATTTTTTTTTTTTTCACGATATTTTTTATCATAAATGCTCCATAAAAACAAGCAGAATAAAAAAAATTAAAAAATATTTATTTTTCACCTAGTTATGGCTAAAAATAGATTAGATTAGATTATTTATTTATGCCAAAGCCAGATGGCCAAATGGCAAGCAAAAATAAAAATACATTTAATTATAAAATTCAAAAATATTGATCAAAATAATTTTACAGTCATTAAAGGACTCTGATTGTAATTATATATACTAATTATTATTATGATTTTTCTTAAAATCTCAAAGACATTTATAAAACTCTACTTATACATCTAGATTGGACAAATAGTCAAAAATTTTATTCTTGAAAACCTCAAGACTGTAAAAATAGGGTAGACCCCACTTGTAAATAATTACCAAACAAAATTATATGCTTATAAGTTTATTATAAAAATAATTGTTCACCAGGTGAATGCGAACGATATTTTACAATTTTACAATATTACATATAATTTATTATTACATCGTTACGTATAATTTAAGCAGATTAACAATCTCATTATTATCCTAATAACTAAATTACTATCGATGACACAAATTGTTAACTAGTTTTTATTTAGCAGCACAACACACAACATAAATTTACAGATAGTAATTTAAATAATTTTTTTTATTACCTTGATTTAAAATTTACTGTGAAAAAATTATAAATCTATTTTTACAATTTTAATAATTTAAAATCGGAACATTTATGGGCAAGTTAAATACCAAATGTTCTTAATAAACTTACTAAAAAATATTTCATAGTATTTTTCATTACATTGCTAGTAAATAATATAAATAAAAAAAATATTTATAATAATGGCTCATTCTGTTGCAGCGTCCATTTCATTAATGACACCTTTCTCAACGCTAAAATCATACTGATAATCTTGACTCATAATACGTGTAATAAAATTAGCAATCTCGTCAACACGAAGCCTATCTAACTCAATGTCTCTATTTAACTCTTTATTCAATTCAAATGGAATCACACTTAAATAAGCTTGAGTATCACCTAATGTATTTTGATCAGCTAAAGCCGATGATCTTGATCCAGGTAGAGGAGGAACGATTGGGAGGTTCACGCCACGATCACCACCCAAGGTCGGGTAAAGTCCGCCTGATCCTGATGGAATATTACTAACACCTTCCGGACCCGGTGCGAATGGATTTGCTTGTTTTTCAATTATTATATAATCGTCATTTTGACTCGACGGTGATGATATCTCCTCCGTTGACTCCGTTGACTCCGTTGGCGATTCTTTGTTCTTTTTCTTTCCGAAAAACCACGACATTTTGAACTGTTGAATAAAATAATTGAATTAATAAATGTTAAATGTATATTATTAAGAGAATAAGCAAAATTTTGTGGCCAGTGTATTTATATTATAAAATGGATTTTTATAGTTAAATTTGGAATCGTTGGAAGTCTTAACCTGAAGTTGTGCCTTTTCAAGGTTTCATATCATTATCATCAATAGTCAATTTATGATGATAAGTATTTAGGCTGCATTCGAAAATGCTTTATCTCCAGATACATAATTAAGAAATGACCTTGTATCTTGTGAACTATTGACATTTTTAAAGATATAAGCTCATCCCGATATTACACTCATCAAGACCTTTCATTTGAGTACCCACATCAATTTTTCAGATATTTTATATATTTATATATATGTATATATGAAAAATATATCAAAAATACATGTGGGTACTTAAATGAAAGCTCTTGATAAGTATAATATCGGGATGAGCTTATATCTTTAAAAATATCAATAATTAACAAATGACCTTGTATCTTGAGAACAACTGACATTTTTAAGGAAATAAGCTCTCCCCGGTGTTACACTCATCAAGACCTTTCATTTGAGTACCCACATCAATTTTTCATATATTAATATATACTATATATATGTATATATGAATAATATATCAAAATGCATGTGGGTATTTAAATGAAAGGTCTTGATGAGCGTAACATCAGGATGAGCTTACATCTTTAAAAATATCAATAATTAATAAATTACCTTGTACCTTGTGAACCATTGATATTTTTAAAGATATAAGCTCATCCCGATGTAACACTTGTCAAGACCTTTCATTTGAGTACCCACATCAATTTTTCATATATTTATATATATTATATATATGTATATATATGAAAAATATATCAAAATGCATGTGGGTACTCAAATGAAAGCTTTCGATGAGTGTAACATCGAGATGAGCTTATATCTTTAAAATATATATTATATATACATTAGGCTAATTAAAAAAAATCGACTATTTTTTTTTTTCTTAAATTTAACGAAAATATTGTTGGAAATGATGAAAAAAAAATCCTGCGAAAGCCACAGCCCTTAATATTAATATTAAGAACTCTCGCATGATAAATTTCAATTTCCCGTAAGATTAACACGGAAAAGCTTGTTTTTTTGAGTTTAGAATTTTATAACTCTTTAATGGTTCATCAAAAAAGCTGGGCCAAATCATTTTCTTGCATAAAATTGAACGCTCTACAAAAAAGCTCTCTTATAATTTTTCGATAAACTGACGCGTTTCGAAGTTATTCAACTTTAAAATACAATTTATAATATTTTCTCTTCTTTTTTCCAATTTTTTGACGAAACTATCAAGTTTATCAAAAAATTTTGTCAAATTTTTCTAATTTTTAGTATTCTAAATTTTATTTGGTTTCACAGATGCTTTTATTTAACTGTCAAATTTCTAATACTATCCTATCTCAATTTTTAAATAAATTCAAATTATTTTTTTTTCAACTCAAAATTATTTTTATTTTTTTTTCTTAACTTTGTGATATTAGAGTAGTTTGGTTACAATTCTGAAATTTGTTCCTGGACTTTTAAACGAAAAATTTTCTTTGGGGACAACTCCTAAAAAAACTTATGACTGCTCCAAAAATTCCCTATGGTCACTCCTAGGATGATATTTCTGCAAAGAACTTAAAATTAAAAATATTGATTAATAAACTATTATTTTAAACTCGTCGAAAAGAAAAGAATTAATGAATGAATTTGAACCACAATACAAATAAATTTTAAACTAATAAAGAGAAAAGTAAAAAATCTCCATATTTTACAATTCTTTCTCTATCATTCTAAAGTCGATAAATTATTCAATCAGCAACTAACATAAAAAAAAGTTTGGAAAATCCAAATGAGCATGCCTTAAGCGCTCATGTCATCCATAAATTATTTAGATCATAACAAAAATTATTCGTTTTTAATTTGAATTTTCCCGCGAGTAGTACTATCCCCTCGGTTAGACTGTCGGTCGAACTAAAGAAAAATTTTAACAGATGATAAAACAGTTAGTAATTATACCATCATGTATTATGTATAGTTTCTGCTTGTTTATAGTTATTTCGATTCTGTTTATGAAAAATAATATATATGGCTGCCAAAATCGCAGAAAAAGTCACCGAACTGACAATCGAAAAAAATTAACTTTATCGAAACGGAATTATTTTGACACGCAATTTTCACAAGGGTTTTGATAA